GTAACTAAAGAAAATGTAGTGAAAAATGGTAATTAAAGGCAAGGATTGGAGCCACTTTTGGGGGGAAAACTGTTATTGAACCATTTTCGTGGATCCAAGCACACACGAACTGAAACTAGTTGATCGAGCTACCAGGATCTCAGGGCTTTGACACCGCAGATAATCAATGCTACGATCTGGGACGTTCACATGATCACTCTCACGAGCAACTATCAAGCAAATATAGTGAAAGAATGGTTCTAGGGCTCACAAGACTCGTGCCGAGCCTCTTCCTTAATAGTTCAAGAGCTATCGAGTTGTTATTACTCATCGTTATGTCACATGGTTTTTGAAGTGCGTTTAAAACCATTTCAAATGTTTTCTCGATCCCCGAAAACCCCTCTGAAATCGTACAACCATCTAAGGGATCTAGGCCGAACCATTGTTTTTTTTTTACGGCGTAGTCCAGAACGTCGTGGAAACGGCTTCGTCGTGAAATCGGAATGTGACATTGGGAGGAACGGGAAGGAAGAGCCCTGAAAAGAAAGGATGATGAACGATAGGCGTGCATGCGCGTTCAGGATATTAGGAGATGTGGGCGAGGATTCTTGGTCACCATAACGTAGCACGGAGTGGTCAATAGACACGCGTCGCTGCTGGTCTTTCACCTTTCCATCGGGCATCTCTCTCTCTCTCCATTCTTTCAGTCACTTCTTCCTCTCGTGATCAACGACCGGAAAAATTCGCATTATTATCCGAAACCTCTGTTTGTTCCTGTGACAAGTATTGTATTGAACTTAGTACCCCTGAAATGCAACTTCTATCATAAAATTGTACAAACGGGAGTGCGATGCACATGAAGATACGAATGGAATTTTCGTAGATGTCCTGTGGATGTACCCAACATTCCGTTACGCCTTTGTCTTACGAACCGAAGAATCGTCCCTGAGGAGTAAAGGCTTAATACCAATGAACTCGACAGAGCGAACAAGGACATCACAATGCATACCTCTTGAGGTGTATTTAAGAATGGTTTGTATCAGGTTTGTCGGGGTTCTAACGCTCCCGTCTCCAATGTGCGATCTATGCATATTTGTAGGTCAACGCTTCATTTCTTTTCTTGTTTTCGCATTCAACAACCTAGGAAGAAATCTGACATCTCTACACAAATTGATCCCTTAATATCTATATATTCTACATCTTCTTTACATAAGCTAAACGAAAGTTTGAAAATGGCTTCAATCGGATTTCCGGGGAGAACACTCTCGCGTGGCTCCGATGCAGCAGTCTATGCGGGGGGAAATGTTGGATGGTAATGCCATTGTCTCCCTTTCCAACGGTTCTTTAAACCGGATCGATGCTATGTTAGCTCGCGTTGTTCCTTTTCGACTGACGAATGGGAAGAGGTTTCGGCAGCGTCGTGTGTCGTTTTTCTCTTTTTCACGGAGAGAAATACACACACCCAGTCTTGCTATAAGTGATAAAAGAAAATTTGCACCGAAACGGAAAGAAAATGTCGTAAGAAAGCACTCATTCGTCAACTTATTTATTTCTTCATTCCTCTTACTTCTAGCAATCTAAAGCACGGATTACTGCCCCTGCAAGAAAAGCTAAATTGATCTTGATAGTTAGGAAGCTGTCACGGTGTGAATCTCGGAGATGACGAAACACCCGGGGGGAGAGGGGACTGAACGAACACGGGATTACGCCAAGTCAGGCATGATGCCCCATAGAGCCACAAAACAACAAAAAAAGACTTCCTTCCTGATTCCTGCATATCTCACAATTGCTTCCGCCTTCTTCGCCGGTTAAAGTTACGAAAGAATCCGTGCGTCTGTGATCGTGTATAAGATCCCGGAAAAGTAGCGCGTGCAAGCGGCTCTAATGACCCACGCGCCGTCATTTAACATTCTTCAATGCTGTCGCTTCCGCTCTTAAAGACCGGGCTGGCTGTAAGGGTGACGAACAAAAAAAGAGTGAAAAACGGCTTCCCCTTCCGTTACCGTTCTGGTTCACCTTCGGTGGTATTTCAAATTTCGTGTTCGTTAGTCAGTCTTTTCCTCCTTTTACGGAAGTTCTTGGATTTCGTCCCTTCCCTCTAACTGAATGAAAAAATAAATAAAAACCACAATGGTGGAAATGGGAAACGGGGGTTGGGACGACGAGGTCTTGCTTCATCGGATTCAATCCTTTTGTGCTATTTCTTTGCTGGGGTGTGCCGATGAAAACCCGGTGAATATAATTTCCACAATGTACTTGGCCATTCTCAAGGCCGATCCTTACAAAAGAATTCATCTCCACAATGATGAAGGTCGACACAGTCTGGCGGATGGGAGTGCCGTTGTGACATTCCTTGGTCTCACAACGTGTGAAGCGTACTTCACTTCCTACTTTCAAATATCAGATGACCATTATTGCATTGTCACTTCTCCCCTCCTCCTTCCCTCCCCCCAGTTCCTCACTTGCTCCTGGAGTATCCTGGAGAGTTCCGTGCGACCTTCGCACAAGGACTTATGCGTGTCTGCATGCGTTCGTACTTCTCAACTTTTTTCCTCTGGGAAATTTCTAGCATTCCATTTCTAATTCGCTGCACTCTCTCTCTGCCATTACTGCTCCGAACTGGATCAGGGAATCTCCCGACATCAAGAGTAGCTCAGTTGGGATTAGCCCCGTTGAAAAAATTATGGGTCGACGTAGGTGTCTGTTGTATCAGATTCCCCTTTCACCGCGAGAAAACAAAAGCTGCCAGATTTTAGATGGAAAATATTTTCCCCCTTCTCTCTCTCCTTCGCTGCTCCCGGCCGACACGGCGTATTGGCGATTTACTTCCAGATTGAGAGCCTTTCGTGACGCAGCAAACGGATGTCGGCTGCATCCATGCATGTAGACGGTGGAAAGAGCCACACCGTGGCAGGGGATTCGTGCGATTTGGTTGCTTCGATTCCACCGCCAAACCGACGTTTCCAGGGCCAGTTCCCGTTCGTGGGTTCTACGGTCTGCGTGCAAATGCGTTTTTACTCGTATTCCCATTATTTCTCTAGGGGATTCCATCGAGGAAACGATATCCCAACCCCTTGCAGGTTGCGACATTTTTTCCCTCTTGCAAATAGTGCCTGGTTTTTTTCTCCTCCTTCCGGAAGAGCGTTGCCACTTTCTCTTTATCTCTCTTCCTCGATCGCTCCATTGCAAAAAAAAACTTTTCCCAATGTCATGAGCTCATCAGATCGTTTCGGGAACAAAAGAGTGACCTCTTTATGTGGTCGACTTAGTGTCACGCCTCCCTTCGAATGTCCTTCGCTCCGAGGGTCGCCACATCCTACGAATTTATCTTGGGATATAATTAGGTTCAATAGGTGCGGGGGAGGTAGTACGGTCATATTTTACACATCTTTTATATTATGCGTAGTTCCGTTCTAGAAAAAAAAAAAAACAATTCCAGACAGTTCTTCCTGCGTGTAATCTTTCATCACTCCCACCCGCATTGCTGTCCAGAATGAAAAAAACTGAAAGAAGAGAATGCTTTGCAGGTGACAAATGACGGCGAAAGCATGGTGCTCCACCTGGTGCTACCTCGGAGCACCAATGATCGAAGCGGAGAAAATGCTAGTGCGGCCTCCTCGCGGCTCCGGCACAGTGTGAGCGCCTTTGACGTCCTCTCCCCGACCGACGAATGGGATTCCGGACGAGGTAATCTATCCGCCGATATTCCAAAATCCTTTCTTTCTAACCTCAATGCGTCGAATTTTTAATATTTATTTTTTTGTTGTATCGGCACGATTTCGTGCTGGGAGCAGCGAAAGGTATGGGAATGAGGTGACATCATTATTGAACTTTCCATCATGTGGATCAGATGCAATTTCTGAGCTGTGAACACAAGAACGCTCTAGAAAACATTGAAAAAAAAAACAATCTTTTTAAGGTGCAACGACCGAAACATATTTTCCGGGAGAGGGAGGAGGGGGGGGGGGGGCGAATTGAGGTCAGAACTGAATACAATTTCAGAAAATCTAGACCTGAAATAATGAATTTAATCCTTTCTCCTTATAAACCTTCACTACATAAGCTAGCAGCAAGGCTAAGTTCCCTTCTTTTTTTTTTCTAAGCAGAAGCATACATTCGCATACGAAGCATACACCGACTGCGAAGTGTTGCAATCACTGCGACCGTCGCAGTTCGTTGCAATCGGTCGCACTAGGGATAGGAGGGGTCCTTGCATTCAGTCGCAGAAGGCTTCGCGACAGAACCGGACGAGTCGGTTCCAGTCGCATTCCAAGCAATGGTTCGCGCTGCGTATGTACTGACCGTAACATATGGAGTCGTTAGATAATATTTTGATGGAATGACTTTGGTGGTAGATGATGCCAATCGTCACCATTGGATTTCCATGAGCGAGATACCTAAATATATGAAATAAGTATTCAAGAGAGATCTCGATGTCGTTACAGTCCTGATTATTTTCCATTGTTTCTATCCATTAATTAAAATTTTTATTTTTTAAGTTGAGAAGCACCTGTTCTTCGAGTGCAAAAGCCTGAGTCGTACCCTCCCGTAAGAGGTATAAACTGCACGATCATCAGTATGAGATGTACAGAATATTTGTATTCGTATACATTTACCTACTTCAGGGTCACTGCCACCATCAGCGCTGGAGAAATGAAACACATGGTGTGTATCCTGTCCTCAGGGTAATCTCCAGCAGACCATGAAGGGTCTTCAATAGCGCAGGAGACATTCTCGTAGACATAGGAGGAAAATACTCCTTGTCTTCGATGATAACTTTTCTACTAGAATCGCGAATTCTCCCTTCTGATGACTGGATCTATGTAAAGGACATACCCACCACTGTCGAGAACTTCCCCCGCCCCACCCCGGGGGCTGCAAAGAAGCAAAAGTGTCGCAGCACGAGCTCTCAGGTTGTACACAGCCGCGTTTGATTTCGCTCGGGTGCTCCGCGACCTGTGTGGGAGTTGCTTCGCATGCGGTCGAAGTCAAGATATTAATATAATTGCGGGCCTCTCAGACGGTCAAAGTGCGACTTTGCCGCCGCCCTTCGCAGTGTGCAGCGGCCCAAAGAATGCTGTCAGAAAGAAACTCAAAGGATCGGGTGCGAGTACCCATCTGAAATCCAATCGTTTCATCTATTCGCCTCTATTGCACTGCCGGGAAGTAAGCATGAAACTAGGCCTTTTTAACGTTTTAACGTTGGGTGTGGACACTCGCACTAGGAAGGCAGAGGAATCCTTAGACCTAAGTCTTGCACGCAGCCTTACAGCGGAATATAATTGATGGAATAAAATAAAAGGACATGATTGAGTATGTATGATGCAGGGTCGGAGGAGCAGTTGCCTTTGCCGCCGCATCGATCCCAGTCCTGCAACGTACTGGATGGAGAGAAAGCGAGGAAGAGATCGGAATACCGAGCATCTCCTCTACCTTTGGATTCTCTTTCCCTTCGATCGACTGTCATCGGCCAAATCCCCATCCAATCTGAATCGAAGCTTCCTGCCACTTCAAATGAGGCCAAAGCCAAATCCTTCAGGTAATCCACATGCTTCATTGGTGGTGGATCTGGGAAGGGGAGGAGGGATATCTAAATTTTGGACATCTCATTTTGCATTACTTGGCAACTCTTAGCAAAGAGAATTATGAATGTGTCAGAGTGTGTAAGTAACGGAATACAGGATTTCCCAGCAGACATTTCACCATTTTAAGAATGTACAGTATGCCAGTATTTCTTACATCTGCCGCTGTCTCACCTGTACGTCCTAGTCCTAGTACGTCCCATGGATTGGAGCCTGAGAAATTCCGATTTCTGGAAAATGGGTACCGAATGGAAAACGCGCCCTTGTTCTCTCTCTCGCTCTCTCTCCTCCTTTTGAAAGTTCTAGATCTCCCATTAACCTTTATTCTTCCAAAAGATCGAATTCAACATTCATGAACAATAAACGTTGATTGTATTGAAGGGCGAATTTGACGAGGACATTGAGCTGGGTGTATGCAATCTTCATCCTCATGGTCGGGGTCATCATCTACATGGCCGACCTTTTCCTCCCGGACGTCCGCATGGCAGAGGTTCCACACTTTTCCTTCACTACCTTTTCACTTTTTCTACCGAGGATTCACGAATTGTAAAATGCGTTCCAGGTCTTCAACATCTACCTTTCCGTTTTTGGGCTGGTGTTCCTCATCTTCCTCCATGCTGACATCAGGATCTACCAGAAGAAGATGGAGAAGTTCCACCAACAGCGGAAGAGGGATAGGGAAAGGGACAGGGAGAGGTTCCAAAGAATGTCCCCAAGTTAGTTCCTTTCTTTCCTGTAATTTCCAAATAACATTTGGAAATTTTTCCCGCGCTGCGTCTATGCGATTCCCTCCCCCCCTTTGGACATATGGATGAATGCATGTTCTGAAATATCACAAACTAGGAGTTGACCGATGAAATTGGACATGATACGAACCCTAGTATAGTAGTAATAAGAAAATAAGAGTAGTGAATAAGAAAATTCCCTATCATTTCGCCGAGTGACAACTCGCCGAATTCGATTTGTCGACTACAACTCGTCGAAAGTTCAATTCGTCGATCTATAATTCGCCGAATACTTAGGTCGTCGAATTACTATTCGCCAACTTATAATTCACCGATAGCTCAGCTCGCCAGAACTTCATTATTCCTTGAAAGCAGAAGCTGAAGCACGAATTATTTTCATCCGCCCTATAATAATGGGATTAGAATTAGCCCACCTAAATCTTCACGAGGTGAAGGGCTGCAGTAAGTCGTTTTGCAAATCTTTTAGTAACTTAAATATTTTCATCGCTGTTCAGCCGGAGCCGGAATATTCTTCGCCTGGGTGAGACGGTTTTGTCTAGACGGGATTAAGCCGTCCCTACGTCCCCATGGACGGAGAGAGGAATTTGGGTGTAGGGCAAGGCAACCAGCCTCAGGTTGTGACCCAGCGTGGTCATCGTAAAGTCATAGTTGATGGCTACATCTACCTTCTCGACAAGAAACTTGGGCAGAAGACCTACTGGCGATGCGAAGACAGAACCTGCACCTCCAGATTGCACAGCATAGGTCACGTCATTGTGAGGCCGCCATCCGAGCGCTATTCCCATGCACCATCATCAAGTCGCGTCACTAAGGCTGTGATGAGGTCTGATGTTCGCCGGTTAGCCCTTGCTTCTGAGAGTTCAACCCGCAAAAGCGTGAAGCACCATCATCGCCTCCCCTGCTCTCCCCTCCAATGCTGCACTGTCGCAGATAGCTCGTTGCAAGCGACGGCGACAACTAGGTGATGCAGACGACGAAGATGGCGTGTGCATCATTCCTCGGCGCTTACAGTGCACCACTGAGGTCAGCGCTTCCTGATTCATTCTGGGGAAAATCTTGTCTTCGCATCTGAGCGAGCATTATCCGTCCTTGCTGCAGCCGATCACTAGTTCGCCGATGGGACTTTTAACGTTGCCCCACCGGGTTATACTCAGCTATACACCATTCATGCTCTGATGGGGGAGTCGACGGCTTTGCCATGTGTCTTTGCTTTGCTGAAGGATAAAACGGCTAGTTCATATAGGCATTGCTTTCGCACGTCTCTGACGCCAGTCTCAGGGATCTCGCTCCACAATCCATCATGCTGGATTTCGAGGCGGTAGCTATTTCAGCCTTCCGTCAGCGATTCTCGTGTGCAAGATGGTAAAAGCAGCCTTTTCTAAAAGGCTGCTTTTGCCATCTTGCAGCATCTGGCGTCGGATGCAAGAACCTGGACTCCAAACTCGCTACGCTGACGACGTGGAGTTGCTTTATGGTGCAAATGCTTGCCTGCGCTGGCATTTGTCTCTGAAGGAGATATTATTCCAGCGTTCGAGGCCCTGACTGATGCTCCAGGCTTCCCTCGAGAGTTCGACCCGATTCTTGACTATTTCGAGTCCAACTACATTGAAAATGTTGGAAGAGGCGGTCGTCGCCGCCAGCCTCTGTTTCCCCATTTGTTGTGGTCTCACTACCAGCGTACCGCTCCTGGCCTCCCCAGAACCACAATTCCGTGGAGGGCTGGCACAATCCCATCAGCGGCTCGGTGAACAAAGCCCATTTTTCGGTGCGAGCCCTTGGCTCTGAAGCTTCAACGAGAAGCTTATCGGAGCGCCTTGGGGCTGGGCATCAGCTTCCAATGCCCCAGAAGAAATATCGCCGGTTGAACGGCAGAGTGAAAATGGTCGTTTCTGGGTACAAGGGTTCCGAATTTCCCAAGTATTTGACGAGTATTGCTCTAATTGTTTTTTTTTTATATATTTCTGCTGAACGATGACTTGACTAAAAAAAAAAACATTTTCTACAAGAATTTGAATTGCTTCAATGTTTCTTGTCACCTCATCCTTAGGAACACGTAAATCTATCAGTCTTAATTATTTGAAACTTCTCTCAGGTGTTGATATATTCGGCTACCAAGTACAAAGCAAAAATGGTTTGCAACGTTTCATTAAGTCAGCCAATTGAATACATGGAGAGATATACTCGCCAGTATACATTTCAAGGAATTAAGCTTTCGAGTTGAACAATCGGTTAATATTGAGCCAGCAAATCGTGATTCGACGAGTTGAACATTCGGCAAATTGAGTTCGGCGAGTCAAGCGGTCACAGATGATTCAACGTTCAATGGTAAAGCCACAGTTAAGGAGAATGAAAGGCTGGACTTGCAGAGGAGGCTCTTGTCGCACAAGTGACTGCTACTTGGGTCTGCATTGCGAGTGCCCCCTCACTTCCTCTTGTATCTGACATGTTCCTTCCCCCCCTCCCCCCCCCAAGTGCAGGAAGATCTAATTTCGTGCACTGTTACTTGTTAGCACATAAATTCCTGAAATTGATTTCCTCATCAGGGGAACTGTTGCCAGACAGTTTGACTGTAGACAGCCTGACTCCGACGGAAGATATGTTCACTTATTCCATGGACATGTCTCAATACTACAATCCTGAAATAAATTCAGACATGGAAAAGGAAGAGAAAACGCCTTCAGATCCGGGCTATTGGTTCCTCACTGGTCGTCATTCAGGAAGTATCTATCTCAAAATTGGCACAGCTGGTGAGTGAACTTTAACGGCCGTGAGTCGTGACTGAGACTTTGATGCTGTTACTTTTGCACTTCCATGACTTGAGGTACTGCTCTTGTATCAGGGTTTTGCCTTGGTCACATGATCCACGAGGGGCTCCTTCTGGGTCGACATATCGGCTTTCTTGCCAGTAACGATGAAACAGTTTACAAGCTATGTGCAAGCACAGCTGGCCTCTTGCTTTTCATCATACACCCCATCTTTGTCTTCTACCAGCTTTTCATTGTCTTCAAATATTCCAATGTGAGTGTGACTTCATCAAATTGAGTCATTGGTTGCATCTTAGGCTTGGACTGATGAGGATCTAACCATTTTATCGCAGGTGGTGATTGAGAAATTCAAAGGGGTGGCTCGCTTCGGGCTCATGCATTGCATTTCAACAAGCCTGTGCTTTTGGTTCTGGAGCATCATAAGAGAGACTGTAGATCACCTCCAAAACGCCATTGTCGCCCAGCCAGACCTGCTCAGGCCACTCCAAGTTCCCCATAACCAGGGGTCAAGTTCCCTCATATCAGCACCTTTGGCATATGCACTCCCTCTGATGGGACTCAAAGCAGGAAAAGCTGGTGATGTTGACCATAGCCCTTTCTAACTTTGCCACTGCATTCCCAAGGGAAATATATTTTATACACACCATATTCCCAGGGATTCTCAATAATTTACCTTTTTTGCAGGTTACCAAGATGACCTAGTCTTGGAGATACTGACAGAAACGCTCAATCATACTGCAATGTGCATAAAAGAAAATGAGCTTTCAGGTTTGATTGGAAAAGCAGCTCCTTATTTACATCCTTTCTCCATTGAATTCAACATCCTTGTTGGTGTGTGTTGTCCAACATCTCATTTGATGCTTAAAGCCACCAGAAATTCATCAAATTTTGTTTCTACTCTCTACATTGCAGTTGGTGTATGGTTCATCATGTGGCAAAACATTGGGCTGAACCACGAGAGTCACGGAGAAAAGATACATTGTCAAGGGAATGCAGACCCATCTAGGAAGCATGCTAATTCTTCTACAATAACTGTGGACTGTCACTCTGCCAATCGAGGTCTCTTTATAGGGCTTCTGCTTGTGGTCATCACCATCATCACTGTGATAATATTCTTCCTTGCTTTCTCTAATGAGGACTATACGAATGTGGGAAGGTATGTCAACACCTACTCTGACCTCACACTGACAGCTATGATGACAGTGACTGTGATCCTGGCATACCGTCAGATTGTGAAACTGGACCTGATAACAAATCCCACAGCTATGCTGGATACTCTGCTCCTTTTCATAGCTATCCCATCATTCTTCCTCTATGGTATCTTTAGCACTGTTCCAGCAGTACAATTAGATGATTCCCTCAGCCGGATGTCCATTGTCCTCAGTGCCATGCAGGTGAGTCTTCCTGTCCCCTTTTGATGATGTTTTTAAGATGAAAATCATGAGGTATGTCATGAATTTCCTCAGGTATTGCAAGTGATAATCCAGACGCCCATGATAATTGAGGGCCTTCATCGGTGCACCAATAACAAGGACTTGAAGGAGAAGAAGCCAGGTCGAGAACTCATCACATTCCTCATTATAGCAAATCTCTGCACATGGATTATTGAAACATTTGAAATCAAGTCTAGTGAGGCTCATGCTGACCGCATTGGTTTCTATGGAAAAGGATTATGGACTCTCTTGTCCCACATGACCCTCCCCCTGTGCCTCTTCTACAGGTTTCATTCCTCTGTCTGTTTGGTGGATATATGGAAATCTGCCTATGAGCAAGATGAATGATTGGAATCTGGTAGTGACAATGGATTCCAATACAACAGCCAAGATTTACAGTGCATTCATAACTTAGTACATTTTTGGATATACTTCATACCTCAAAGAGAACTTATTGTAAACCACAAAGCCAAACTAGAAAAAAAGTGAATCCTGCTATGTACTAAGTTAATCCAAACTCAGTGTAACTTAAAGGGATGCATGGGTTTCATGTGTGCCATTAGGAAAATGACTCTGCATTACCTCAACCTAGCTGATTGAAGAGCATTCAGACATGTGCAGCAAAAACACCCAGCAAAATGCTGGACATCAGTCCCTGTAAGAGTTGTTCAATACAGGATGCTTACATCAACAACTTGCAATATGGATAAGAAAGTGGGCTCCTTTCTCTGTGTGCATTCAAGAGTGAAAGAGTGACTACTGGTTAGCACATGGGAAATCCTTTGATTTGTACAATAGGATACAAGTACATCAAAGCAAGCTTGATATCTTCATTATATGCTGGTCATATTAATTTTGTTTGTTTGGAATTTCCCATTTAAATGATAGGGAACATTCAGACCATGTCCAGACATATTCTGCAAGGATGAACTTTGTCATTTGATTTGGGAATGAAATGAAATATGATAATCTTGACTCATTATTATTTCATCAAAACTCATGTGAAGTATTTGCACCATGTGGTTAGACTGTATGAGACACTGAGTCTATACCTTTAGAGGGAAAGGACCATAACAAAAATTAATAGCATTATGCACTCTCACTTGGATTTCTATGAAAACATCCAATAAAGGCCAATAATTTGATCCATTAACACATTGAGCTGATTGAAATACTGAAGCTAAGCCAGTAGATCACCAGGTTGCCTCTTTTAGATTTTTCTTGCATGTAGTTATTATATAAGCAATAACAGGAATAAAACACAGATGAGAAGTATTGTGCATATGGCAATGACCATCTGATATCTAAGAAAATGCCCATGTTCTCAAACCAAATGGCATTCAAAGGCATGAAAAACAAATATTTGGTGTTCTAATGTAGGTTATAGATAGGTACAGCCATGCTGCTAGAAGCCTTTAGCGCTCAGGTTCCTCCAAAGCATGCTCCACGAGTTCCTCCAAAGTTAGCACTTCAAGAGCTTTGATATGACTTGCAGCAAGAATGACAGGTGGAGCAACTCCATGTTGCTTGGCTTCTTGCCATCGAACAGCACACAGACACCATCGATCACCAGGTTTTAGGCCAGGGAAACCTGGACACGGAGTTGAAAGGTCATTCCCATTGGATTTGGTGAATTCCAGGAACTCAGCTGTTACTTGTGCACAGATGACATGAAGACCAATATCTGTCAAGTCTGTGCGACAGTATCCATCACGAAAGTAGCCTGTGCTTGGGGTGAAACAACAGGGTTCCAATCTTCCTCCAAGAACATTCTTCTCCTCTTCTGAAGACATTTTGCCTACTGATCTATAGTAGTGAGGATGTAAAAGAGGCCATAGTCTGCATAATTGTTCCAGTGAAGGCTAATGTGAAATTCCAATTAGGCACAACTGTTGAGTCATGCAGGCTTGTCACAGTGATTGCAAAAGACTTCTCACATTTCCAAACTGATTTAGTACAGCTATGACATCATATTATTTGTGTACATCAACCTTATTCCCAGCTTTCCTTGTTATCAAAAGCTGGTAGATATTTAGGCATTTAAAAGTGGTAAAACTAAAAATTGCAGTTGTCATGGTGCCATTCATCTTGCAGTCTTCCTGCTAAGATTGAAGAAAGAATAGGAGGATATTGAAAGGTGGATCTATGCAAAGTTAGGGTAGACATTAACCCTTTGCACTCAGTGTCAGGTGTGGTCCAACACTGTCTATAGCACTATGATAAAAACATAGTGCAAAGGGTTAAACAGGAGTTTTTCTGTTTTGTTTTTGGAATGGAACAATTCAACTCGCCCACTCCCAGGAAATGGAAATATTTTCTATGATAGTATGGAACAAGTATTACATGAAGAAAACCCACAACATCTAGAGCGAAAGACAATACTTATTGGAGATTGGAATGTGGACTTTGGACAAGATGGGAGGTGTGAACTTCTTTCATGTCTTAAAATCATGTCATTTCAGTCAAATTATCACATTCATGACAAGAGGAAGTTTTACCATAGATCACATATTTAGTAACATCCAAGATCAATATGCAAGAGGTGGGACAATTGAAATCAAACTGAGTGATCATTTTCCTATATTTTTTAATCTTAATATGTTCAAGAATGAATTCAAAGGTGAAACATGTCAGAGGCCAAATGAAACTGTCAAACTGGAAAAAACTTGATTGAAAGGAATTGCAAGAAATATTTAAAAAAAAACAGAACTGGAAGGGTATATTGGGAATGAAAGATATAGACATTGCATATGAAAAATTCAAGGAAAACCTTGACTCTGCATTGAGAAAATGGAGAACATCCTTCAAAAAGTCAAAAGGAAAAGGTAAAAGTATAAAGATAACTGCTGGATTACTTGCCTCAATGGACAACAGAGATAAATTATATTCCAAGTATGAAAAGAATCCTTCTCATGAAGAACTCCAAAAGATCAAAACATATTGTAAACTTCTAAATAAGTTGAAAAGGACAGTAAAACGAAATTATTTTTGGCAAAAAATTGCAGAGAGTACTGGTAATAAGAAAAAAACTTGGATAGTCCTGAAACTTATGAAACTTATGTATAAAAGATCAATTGGCTTTTTGGTAAATCAGAACTTCTATGAGGAACCATATGGATTTAGACAGAATATAAACACCGATGTAGCACTAGATGTGCTTATTAATAAAATGAGAGAACTGATTGATGAAGGAAGTAAATGCATTGGAGTCTTTATTGACTTCAAGAAAGCATTTGACACAGTTCCTCATGACATACTTCTAAAAAACCTACACACCTTCACATTAATCCATCCCCCATATAATTTACTGCATATCAATATGGGGTAATACATATCAAAAGTATTTGCAAAATAAAGAAGTGCTGAAAAAAAGAAGCATTAGGATTATGAGCTTTGCAGAATATAGAGACCATACTTAAGATCTGTTTCTATTCTGGAGAATTTTGCCATTAGGAAAATTAATTCAGTTTCATCTTTGTTAAATAATTTTCTAAGAAAGTGTAATTCTTAATGTCAGAAACCTAAAGCTAACCAGGATTGCTGACTCCCACTCTTATGAAGCCAGGGCATCTAAAGCAGGAAAATTTCAGATACCTAGAACAAATACAAAATATCACAAAAGAAGGACAAAGAATATTCAATGTACTGCCTGAGGATATAAGGGCTGCAAAATCAATTCAAATCTTTAAAGCTAAATTAATAAATGCAAAACATTCAATCAATCAAATAATATATTTTTTTTTGCATCCCAACTTGGCCAATTGGGTTCAATGAATGGCCTTATTGCCACTATTTGCATTTGCATTTTTTTCCCCTCTCTCTCTCTTTTATTTATTTATGTAATGTCTTTCATTTTTGTCATTGTCTTTACCTTCATCTTTGTTTTTTATCTGCAAATATGTGGAAAATATATTCTATTCTAACTCCCAGTCCAATAATGTGGGTTGGTGCAATTGGTCAATTGTTACCATGAAAACCTTGTTTTTCAAAACGCTGTTCACTTCAATACATTGAAGTCTTGCAGATTGGTAAGGATACACATGAATAAGCACAAGAACATGTCAAAATATGCATCACATGGAAATGATGTAAAAACATGAACTTCAACTTTCAATTTAAAAAAATGACAAATATCTACTGTTAGTTAAATATATACAATTTCCAGTCACAACTGGAGGCCGAGGATATAACTCTATTTTTTTCATATTGCACAAAAGCTGCAGCATCTCATGCTGGAAATTTGGTAACACATATTCCACTTATGATTACTTCCACAGAATATATACAAAATAAATATGCCCAATTCCATGAAAGCCCTAAAATAATAGCTTTTGAGCTGTTTTTTTTTTGTCCAAGTCACAAAAAGCTCTCTTGTTGCGTAATGCGTGGTACGGTTTCCGTCACCAGCTCTTAGGAAGCTCATGTAAATATATGCATTTGCATGAAAATCCCCTTCTTAATTCTTAGAAAATACACCTATGGCATTACCTTTACTGTGGAAAAGAATTGGTTTAAGTGCAGGAGGAGCTGCTGAATTTGCCAGTGTGCTTTAATTATGGGTAGACTCAACTCTTATGCGGTCATATCTTTGGACCACCATAATTAATCCTAAGGGGTTACCTCTTCAAACATTATAATTCTATCAACAATTCAAGCAATTGTGAAAGAACCTGATAACTAATATTTCAATATTACTGGTTTAAGTGCGTAATAGCCTAAACTTATTTTAAATTTAATAAAAACGAGTTAGAGCGGACCCACGTGCTTGGAATGAAAAGAGAAGTGCCATGCTGTTAATGACGTCATTCTTGTTGATGGCGCCCCGCAGATTATCACGAGACCAACGGTTACCCCTCCCTGAACGTTTCAGAATTTTCTCAGGACCTCGATCAGACTAACATAGGTTCCTTATAAAAAGAAAAACTTTATATAAGGTAAACAAAGTTAGTCCAGGGTTAGGCCATCCCGCATTATTTCTATTTTCAGTGATTTGTAAATGTATTTGTAGCTCCTGTAACGTGCCCTGTATGCTGAACATAGCATCTTTCAGGAGATGTATCCCCTCGTCTCCTTGATTGCATTATCAAGGAAATTTTCACGATGTTGAAGGTGGTGCGAATCAAAAAATGAAATGTACTGTACTGCCCTTATAGCCTAGTATATATGGGTCTTGGTCAATCATTAGACTGTGTTTTGATGTTTGAATGTTGCTCATGTTTTCAGATGCAAGGAGACTGACAGAGAGTGCTTTGGCTATTACTTCAACGGCAAGATGTACAAACAAGAGAAAGTGAAAGCAGGCCATTTGGTAGGCTAAATTTGCTTTTTTTTTAGAATACACAGCTCATTTATACAAGGACTAGCTTAAAAACAGCCAATAGCAATTACTGTGTTTCTGGATTGAATTTTACCCATCTGCCCTCCTTTCTTGGTGCTGTTGTCAATGGTACTGGAGAGACACCTACACTGTCTTCAGATTGAATTAATACCTCCCTTTGGGGTAGTGAGATGAAGAAATCACTACTTCCAAGGGATTCACTTCATCAGATCACCCAAAGAACCACCCTTGTGAAGGTGTCACTACTTGCAATCACAGGAAGTACTCTAATGGGGAGGTTATGAATTTAATCCAAAAGCAGTGTAGTAATTGCAATTGTTAGTTGAAAAAAAGGTATGCTAATGAGTGTAATTAATTCATCTGAGCAACACCTCTCCCTGAGTGAGGGAAATGTTACTGTCCAACTCAATGGTAGAGCCCATAGGTAAGCATGGAGCATATGCAAATGGGGTAGAAGTCAATCTGGTAATGCTGCTTCTGTAGGGCTTAGCTCTGTACAGAAATGTAGGCCTACCTTGTTGCACCTGGCACAGGATGATGGGGTAACAGTTAAGCACATACCCCCTAGAGAAATTGCACTCCCCCAGTCTCCAATGTTTCCAGACAAATTCAACCAGAAACATGCCAAATCCATTGGGATTCCTTTTACTTATAATAAACCTAACCTAACCTAACCCATTCTATTTTTTTCTGTTTCTTTATTTTTTAAATAGCTTCTACATTAATTTTTATTAGGGCCATTGAAGTAGATATTCAAGTTTTTACCCCAGACAAGAAATGAAAAAGGCGATAGAAGGTGATAGTGGTGGAAGGTGGGGGGGGGGGGCAGTAGGAAGTAGGGAACTTATGAAAAATTTCTGCATCTGCCTCTGGTTACAGTTGGGAGACATGTCTTTCTTCAGTTCTTTCTTTTGTGTCACATCTCACACATACGCATGTTCATGGGCAGGGCTGGCCCTGTCTCCCTGACTCCTCAGCCAATATATGCCACTGACCTCATTTTACTTACAACCATAGGACTTGTCTATGGATATCAGACATGATGCCATTAGCCCATTACACTTAATATTGTAATGCAGGTAAAATATATTATATGGCATGCAATTGATAATATACAAATACAAATATGGTGCTAGCTGGCAAATATATGGTCATACATGGCCATATAGAATCATATACCTTGTCATATATGGAATTTTCATGTGGGGTAGAAGAAAAAAAAAATCTTTATATTCAGGTCTACCCTGGATCCAGTTATCTCCTTGGTAGCCCAGGTTCTTATGGCTGTATCCTGGGATGTTTTCTTGTTTTTGAAGCTCTTTTTTTTTAAATTTAAGGTAAAGGCATTCTACAACTTCCAATCTTTCTGGCTCATAGTATTTGGGTGCTACTTTTGTCCAGATGGCCTCAGACAGCTGTATAAAATGCTTCTTCACTCAATGTTAACTTCTTTTGAGATTTATTAAGATTGAGCATGATATTCTACTCCATGTGAAGTGAGATGGTAGGAATTGAGAAGATGTGAAAAATCCATGATGTATAGAGTTGTATTGTAATGCATCTAAGTCATGCAGAATAAACTCAATGAAGGCAGGATGATTGGTCACTGAGTTGCCAGTGCCAGGGCATCTCATAGGTGTTGATGGAAGGAATGATCATTTGTTTTGACTTAGACCCAGGCCTTGTATCACAGTTAATGAACAGAGGAAGATTCAAGTGCATTCTAGTTGAAGAATCACATTCTTCCATCTCTATGGCCTATAGAATAGAGATTGCATTGAGTTTCAACTGCTCTGACCAGAATGTGATGAATGTGCTGCTATATTCAGAACATATGCTCAATGAGGCCTTGTGACTCCTGAATGAGGTATTGGTGCCAAAACATATTGGGTATATGGATTTTCTGTTTCCTTTTAGTCTCTTGCACTGACACTTTGATGGAATGGAAGAAATGCTAATGTATACTCGTTGGATCACTTTTTATTCTTCTGTTCTGAAGAGAATGGAACTTTCATGCTATATCAAGTTTGTGCAGATTATGTGGATGTATATGGTGTGCCCTCACATTACTAGGCTTGCAACAGTACCATTCTGATGTTGCTACACTAAATTGAAGCTAAATTTAAAGTCCCAGTAGTAGCACTTAAAGAGCAGCGGGAATAATGCTCACAAAGGTGCAATTTTAACTTTTGTTTTCAAATTGGTCACTAGCACATACTAAAAAGGGGTGAAAAATTATTAGAACGCATATTGCAATAATGTCACTTGGTTTTGGTGGTTTTGTTCTTCCTTGGTGTTGGGAAAAGCTTGTAATGGCTGAAAACATTGCAAAAAGGATTCAAGATGACCAATATTGCAATAACTAGTCCAAGTGGCAGGTACCATTTCTCACTGGGATACTGACTGAATCAAGTTCAAATGCTTGCTTGATAGGCCATACATAGGACTGCATGCCTTATGTGCCCATATAGATAAATTATATATGATTTTATGAGAAATGAGGATATATGATATATGGACATATATTTCCCCATATATGGTCATATAATATCATATATGGTAGACTATATATCTGATCATATCTTCTTATTGAAACAATGAGTATATGATCATATATGGCAAGACCATATAAGAATTTTTATGAAAAGCATGCATGAAAAATATATGGAGGAGCAGGTTAGATAATTGTATGACATTGTTTATCTAGCATATGGTGGTGCATATATGTCAACCCTGATAAGAGGCATGACCACATCAGGTATGAAATATACATGAAATCATGTCACTTTCACAAGTCTATCACAAATATAAAAAATATCTTCAGGAACTAAGCTGAGAATTGGCACTTCCATCTGTCACTTCTATGAAACTACAAAAATCATTCACTTCTCATACAGCACAAGTACATCCCAAAGATATCCCCTTGCAACAGTTGAGAAATCCCAGAGGTAACTATTAGGGACATCTAAAGAATATCTGGGCATAATGAGATCCCAAGAAAGTCCCTTTCTTGCAGAACAAATACATCCCTGAGATGTCCCAGAGATATCATCTTAGGATAAGTAAGAAGCCCCAGATACTACTTGCATGGACTTCTCAGTGATATCAAAATATCTAGGTGCCTTTCTTAATGAAATGGACTCATTTCTTGCTGTACAGGACAACCCTTTATTCTCTAAGTTTTCCCTACTTGATCTTCTAGAGCTCCCCAGTCTTAAATTCTTAGCTGATTGAAGAATAATGGTGAAGGGGGAATAAAATCATTTGGTTGAAAGACCCCCAATATAGGAGATGCATCTCCATGGGTTAAAACTTAGCTTGTTTTATGAAAAGTTGCTCAGTTTCTTGGTTGAGATAAGTAGGTCTCACTTCTTCAACCCATCAAGCAGGTATGCAGATGCATCTGTCACAGTCAATGTCCCTGATACACGATACATAATTTCTGTTCTTTATATTGCAATGCATCATGTTCTGCATGATGTCTTTGCATATTATGATAAAATAAAGAATTTCATGTTTAACTTTTTGCATAAAACACTAATTCTGCAACTACTGTCCACATATGTCCACATATATGCTGTAGTTCATTAATATTTATGTATTGTGGATTTCACTTTGTGCAGAAAATTACACACTTAAAGGTTAAAGCTGACAAATGGGCTTAGATTTCCAACCAGCATAGTGGTACTCAGACATGCTGATCATATATCATTGATGAGAATATAATGGAATACATTTAAATTAGGACCTTAATATTTTTTACTTTCTTCAGTGGCAGTTTCCTTGATGTACAGATGCACAGTACAAAAATCATTACTTCTCTTCTGTACAAATCAAGTTGATAAAATTGATGGAAAAGATATGAGCTTGGAGATCATGGCATGTGGGAGACATCTACAACCATAGTTATCCATCTGACTGCAGATGACAAAGGCAACTGAAGATGTCTTAGAGGCATCCCTAAGATGCCCTAAAGACATTCTTCTCAAGATATTGAAAAGCATTGCAATGAAGTGGTCTTCAAGACATCTCTTATGGAATATCCATTTGACTAAGGATTTCTTAAAGATATCCCTTTTAGGGTATCTACGGGGTGGCCCAAAAAAATTGGCACTCTTTTCAACATGCATTTTTGGTGTGATGGTTTCAAGGATATTTTTTCTGGTTACATGTAATAGAAAGAAGGAAGACTCAGCTACAAAATGCTTTTTTAGACTTGAATTATCTTAAAGGATGACGTAGAAAAAAATTATTGAATATTGGTTACTAAAAATCAGCATTGCCCTCACTGACTGCATATGGCGGCAGGCACATCAATCAGCCTTGCGACGTCTGCTAAGGTCAGTGGTTCCTTTCCTCTTCTTGTGAGTGAAGGGATGTCGAGTGGATGCTGGGTCGAGTTGGTGAGCGCAATGCCGATTTTTCACAACTGAAATTCAATCAATTTTCCATAGGTCATCCTTTGAGATATTTCAAATCTGAAAGAAGCATTTTGTAGCTGAATCTTTCTTCTTTCCATTTCATGTAACCAGAAAAAATATCCTTGAAAGCATCACACCAAAATGCACATTGAAAAGAGTGCCATATTTTTTGGGCTATCCTGTATAAGAATTTGACTGAAGAAAAGATATCTCTAAGAAATCTAGAAGACATCCCTTTTGAGGTGTTGGAAACTGTCTGACTTAAGATGTCCTTAGGATGTTCCATTAAGACCTTGAGATGAGTGTCCAGTTGGGGACATTCCTGGGATGTCACTGTCCTGTGTTGGTAGACCATACTATATATATTGTATACTGTTCCTTATGCATATCAAATATGTATTTCTAGCATTATATTTTGTTTTGAAAGCATGCATGCTGTACATATATTTACAATACATGAGACTCCTTTGTAAAAAATCATATACTTAAACCAGGTGCATCATATATACATGAGGCCACCCTCAAATCACATAATTATTTTACGTAGAACATATATACTGTCCACGTATGTTTTAATATATGAATAATCCTTATGTGGATTTGCTTTGCACCATTTGCTTCAGCCATATGTATCCACTTAAATATGCTTACATATTTCAATGCATGAAAAATATATGAATTTACACTGCACAGATAGTTGCATAAAACCTCCATATTTTATCTTTCCATTTGAGACAGGTTAGAGAAAGACCTGATGACAAAACAAAATGCAAAGAAACTAAGAACAATCACAAATGCCAAAAAGACAACAGAGGGGATTTTCATGCTTAAGCAGGTTGATTTAATGTGAAAACAAAGAAAGAGAGAAAAAGAAAAAAGGCAATGATACCAAGACGACATAAAACTATTCAATCCTGCCATCTGCTCTGGCATTCACAATACCTCTTTAACTTTCCATTTCTAGAACACAACATGTTCTGAATGGTGTCATTCTTGAACAACATATAAATAAGGTGAGGATTGAAGAATAACTGCTGTGGATCCTATTTTGATGAATATACTGTATGAAAATATTCAAAATTATGTCCAAATCTTGGAGTAATGGGGAAAAGGATGAACATCTTATCCTTAGCAGTCTTGTAAAAATAATACTTGAAAAAAATTTGTTCTATTTAAATGTTTCATGGTTCAATGGTTTCTAGGAATGACTCTTGGAGTGATGTGCTGACATTGTGACTGATTTCTGAAGTACTGGATCTTGCTAGGTGTTAAACATTTCTATGTGCTCTTTATGTGTTTTTGACAGCTGGAGTGGATACCTAAAAGAAATTGGAGCATTTTTTGTGGTAAATAATGAGTATGACTCCAAAAAAAAAATCTAAAAGAGATCAGAAGGTAAATTATGGTGGATAAAAGTGGAAACAATGAAAATGAAGAAATGAGACTTGATATTCAGAGGTAAAGGGAAAATCCAAGATCATTATATTAATGAAAGGTAAAGTGGAGCAATGGGTATTAGTCTATTCCCTGGCACTGATGCATTATGATTAGGGCCATTCTGATTATTGTGATATGAAATTCATCAATAATGTTCCTATCAGCAATATACCTATGTATTATGATATTGTTTCAACTTCATATTTGCCATCCTGAGTACTCATGTATGTATTCATGATTGAATATGGCTGATTACAGAAGGAAAAGTTCTGTGATTGATGAACGAAACCTAAAGATGGAAGCTTTTTATCATCGTTAGCAAATTCCCCTTAATTGCCAGCCCTACATGAGACAGACCTGATGAAGGGAACAAGGCAAAATGAAGAAGGTTTCGTTCCGAAGTGATTCTCCGGACCATTAGATCTATGGAACATGGGAAAGGAGGTGGCACACATCACCATGTGACACTACCCTCCTAACTTTCAATATGAGGCTGGAATAATTGAAAAAAATAAATGAGATCACCACAGCTCAATGGCACCACCCTGTGATTCCCCCTAATGCACCTATTGCCCTTGCCATTTTTCTTGAAAAGTTGAGGACACCATTTGATAAGAAACACTCCAGGTCAAGACTTAGCTAGGAGCATAAGACACTGATGTTCCTTTCACTTCATATGAACTCTATCATGTAGCTATGCCTCATGCTTTGGATTCTGACTCTTGGGATTTGTGATATTGTGCGATAAACTATTGGCAATAGTGTCAAAACCCTTATCACTCAGCCCTAATCATGATGTCAAGACTTTCCTAATCATTGCTTGGTTGCCTTGCCAGGGAATGGGTTAAGGCATCGGCTCAGGAAAAAACAAGGTAACCAGAGTCTCTGAGTACATACTGTAGGCATTGCAGTTATTGCTATTTTGGTAATTTATATTTCTGCTTGTAAGTAAGTTTTGAAAATTCGGTAGGAATAAAAGTTGTATTCATGAAAAATTTGTAATGCCAAGATTTCAGTTCTGTTGTTAGTTATGGAAAATTCACTGTTGTTGGAAAGTTGGAGGATGACCTTTTATTTTTCATAACTTGCAACCAAGTACTAGATGTCTGCTCTACTTTTTGTGCAGGAAAGAAGGGCTTCAGACCTCTAAAAACCAGTTAAGGGACTGTTGAATTCAGGCTTGTATGTCATCTTGATAAGGGAAACCGCACCAACTTAGTTCAAAGGTCTTTCCCCCTATGGGAAAGGAAACATAGGAAACAAATGTATGAGGCAGTCAGATGTTTCTCCTCAAGGTCAAAATACCTGTTTTCACCTGTTTTGTAGCATACTCAATCAAGTCTGTGGATAAGAGAAGTAACAAGTTTTGCCTGCACTTGCACCTGTGTGTCTCTCTCTCTTTTTTGTTTCATTATATACAGGGATATACTATGGAGGAGTATGTAAAATGGCCTAAGAATGAACTTTGATGTTTTAGAGACTAGCCAAAATCTTGGAGTCATGTGCAGTATACATTTAATATCAAATGACATGTTCCATATTGCATTTAATTCCTAGCCTCTGGGTGAAATAAATTTCCATGAATGAAAAAACAAAAAAAAAGTGTGCATTCTATTTTGGGATGCATTCGTTTTTTGGTATTGTATTAAGTGTCTAAGGTTGTCAAAATGTCCAATTATTTTATATTTGATTATTAACTTAATTGAAGAGGATAATGAAACATGATCAATAATTTTGATTGTAGTTGGAGCTCTAGAAAAAAGTCAAACTCAGTGGAAAAACACAGAAGCTTCAATCATATTCATCCACCATTTTTTTTGCAGCTGGACAAAATGGTTGGCTTTGGAAAGCCCAAGAGCAAGTCCAGACAAGAGAGGTTCTATTCTGATGGTGACCAAGGTACAAATGATGAGATGAACCAAATTTTGTCAGAATTGGATATGCTGACAGAGCAGGATCTCAATGAAAAGTTTGAGAAGATGCTGGTGAGTGCCTTAGTCTCCTCCTGTGCTGTTTTACATAAGCAAGTTTTTCTCCTATGTGTCCTTGAATAGTAAATTATGCCTGAAAGTTTCTATCATATGGAGCCTGGCTGTTATTTGCAGCTGTATCCTAAATGTACACTTAAGACTGATATTTATTAAATTTCCTTTTCCTGCCCTTGAAACTATATTGAAACCCTGAGTTCTTGCCTTTCAGACACTGATAGACATAACCAGGCATGAGTTTCTTGTGTTTGTAGTGAAAGTGTATTCAATTCCAGGATGACATGAACTTGTCTGCTGAGAAAAAGAAACCACTCCAAAGTCAGAGTATGAAAAAGAAGAAGGAGATCCTTCTTATGCATTACAAAGGGAATGTGAGTTTTGTTTGCTTCTCTTTTTTTAAATTTACTTTTTAATCATGGGTATACGAGAAAAGTGATTCCCCCTTTTCTTTTGGCCATTGTGTACTGGCTCTTTGCCTGAGTCTAAAGATGAAATGCAGAAGCCTCAATTAGGTAAGATAAAGGGGCCTTTCAACTAAATAGCTCATTTTCCCAATTGCAATCCATGTGCTCATGAAGGACTGTTAACTATTTGAGGTTTCAGCTTTTGGGGCTAAACCTTCTGGAGGAAGTTTCATACATGGAGTATGACCGAATAAATATCTCTAAATTTAACATTCATATTTATTCGTATATTGAAGCTAATTCCATGAAACTTACTTTGTGCATTGAATGCCATGTTTTTAATAGAATTGTGACATTTCATGCAAATTCATTCTGCCAAACCAGTTATGAGCAATTATTCAAATCAGGAATTGAAAATCAGCAGAGGAGGACACCTGTCCCTTTGAAGCAGCAGGATTCTGTCTGCTTCTTCCAATGGAAACCAAGGAATTTTCTGTAGAAACTCAGAGTAAACTCTCTGTATTGATACTTGTTTATTCATAATTTATTAATTTGAAGAAAAAAAACATTGAAAAGCATGTGGTTAGCCTAAAGAATACATTTTTTTATTTTAAAATGTTATTCAGTGTGATGTGCATGATTGCAATCACAGTTGGGAGGCAGCATTCCCTTCACTCTGACTACCAGCATGTGTTCCTGTCCACCTGCAATATCCAGCATCTTTGGAATAAGTGTTTATACATCAGCTTGGCACAACTATTTGATATTGAATGTGTTTTGAAAACCTATCAGATCTTTTTTTAGATCTTTTTTTGACATACCTTGTATCTATGCATTGGTGGAAAACACTTGTAAAAATTGATACTTTTTCCAGAGAGGGACACAAAATCGACTGGCTACACGCTTTGAGAACCCTGAAGATTACATTAATCAGCTGAATCTTGTACATGAGATGAGTGCAAACAAAGTTTTGGGTTGTGTCTCATCTCTTCGAGTTGACCTAACCAATCAACCCCTACACTGGGTCAAGCAGTTTGGAATTCATGGATTGAAAGCACTTCTAGGTGTCTTGGCCCACTGTTACTCCAAGAAGATGTGAGTTACTCTTATAAAATCCATACTCTTAACATTTTATTGTCCATTTGGATTTCATGAATTTTTAATTTTAGGGAACCTGTTTGGGAGAAAGTGCAATATGAAGTGGTGAGATGCATAAAGTCAACCATGAACAATCGGATTGGGTTGAAGCAGATGTATGACACCAAGGATGCATTTGCCATCCTGGCAAGTTCCATTGATCCAACTCACCCACAAGTCATGCTAGAAGCTGTGAAGCTGATTGCTGCAGTCTGCATTGCTAACAAAGAAGGATTTGAACATGCTTTGCGTGCCATCACTATCAGCTCTGAACATGAGAGTCGAGACCAGAGATTCCTTCCCATAGTAAAGGGACTCTTGGTCAAGGACAATCCTCAGCTTAATGTATGTATCCCTTATTATTTGTAGCTGATTTCAGGCCTTCCAGGGTCCTATTTGTCCTCATTGTTTCACATGAACATGTTTTCTAGACGGCCTGCCTTCAGTTGATCAATGCTCTGGTGACAGAACCTGAAGACTTAGACTTCAGACTTCACCTGAGGAATGAGTTCATGCGTATTGGACTTGGTGATATCCTTGAGGTAAAGTTTTTGTTCTCTCTGCAGTCATCAGTGGTGACTGGTATTCTGATTTGTGTTTTATGATTCTAACATCAAATGTAATTTTTTTTGCAGAATTTGAAGGTTGGAATGTTAGATCGAGACCTGATGATGCAAATTGAAGTGTTTGACAGTAATAGAATGGAAGATTATGAAGACTTTATATCCCGCTTTGAAAATATCAGGGTTGAACTAGAAGATAGCAAGGACTGCTTTGAATTGGTCAGACAAATGATTGCTGACACTCCTGCTGAGTCCTCATTCCTTTCTATTCTCCAGCACCTTGCCTACATACGGGATGACTTTGTTGCAAGGTCTGATGTGAATTCCAAACCTCCTCACTTAAATTACGTGTAAAGCCCTAAATATTTTCGTTCCTATTTTTTCTCTGTATTTATAGGACAGCATATTTCCGCCTTCTGGAGGAAGTGGTATCCCAGATTGTCCTTCACAGAACTGGCTGTGATCCTAATTTTGAGAAATTTCGAGTGGATCATGACCAGCTGAGGGAAGATCTCAAAGGTGAGTGAAATTCTTATGTTTTTTTATTATTATACATTATATCTTCAACCCATCCATATGAAGTTTTTTTTCACTATCTTCTTGTTTGTTTCATTTGCTCCCTTTGTTATGTGTGGTTGCATTCTTATTGATGATTTGAGTTCAGCCTTAGAGACTATGAATGAGAACATGTAAGTATAAGATGCAGGTGTAAGTACGGAATAAGTATTCATAAATTTATCATATTTATTATGTGTTTGAAATGCTGCTCATCAGTTCTTAGTTAGTACAGCAGAAAGTATATCAGACCTAGAAAGAAATGCTCTCCATATTCTTCCTTTCCCAAATTATCCAAATCATGTCCTATGGGGAGTCTGAGATGTAGGCCATAATGATATTGTATAGCTGCGGAGGCCCATGTCCAAATGGAACTGTCAAGTACACAAGAGCTGCAGAAGAAACTGGATGAGGCATTGGGTGCTAAGCAAGAAAGTGATGCTCAGGTAGAGCAGTTGAAGCAGAAACTTCAGATGTATGAGGCTGGAGGAGTACCTTCCCCCTCTGCTGTTAGTGTGTTTAAGTTGTCTTCCCCATCTGAGTAGTGCAATTCTGTCATCCAGATGTACTCATTGTTTATGCATTTTTTAAAATACAGGGTAAGCTCCCACAGGTGAACATCCCTATGCCACCCATGATGCCTGGAACAGGTCCAACTCCACCCCCACCTCCACCTGGATCTGGCCCACCCCCTCCACCTCCACCTCCTGGTTATGTTGGTCCTCCCCCTCCACCACCACCTCCTCCACCTGGAGGAGGACCACCTCCCCCTCCATTTCCAGGCCTGGGCCCTGGTCCACCCCCACCCCCTCCACCAGGTGGAATTCCTGGAATTGGTCCCCCTCGTCCGCTCATTCAGAGTCCACAAAAAAGGGATGAACTCCCATATGGGATGAAGCCAAAGAAGAAATGGGACCTTACTTTCCCCATGAAAAGAGCCAACTGGAAGAAGGTTTGTGGAAGGAGTGTAAAGACTCACTCCAATATTCTTCCTGGATGTTGAATTGAATCCTTTTAAGTCAAATTTATTTTTTAATTCTTCTTCCTGTTCAAGTATGTTTGCTGCTTGTTGAAGTGTGCCTGTGTCTGATGTGAAAATGCTCCCTTTGATCATTGCCACAGATCAATCCTGAAAAATTATCAGAGAAGGCATTCTGGGTGAAGATTGAGGAGGACAAATTGGCATCAAGAGACATCTTGAATGGTTTGGAGTCCAAGTTCTCCACAAAGCCACCTCTAAAAACATCAGATGACATCAGTGATAAGAGACCAGGAACCAAGAAAGTGAAAGAGTTGGTGGTGTTGGACTCGAAAGCAGCGCAAAACTTGAGTATCCTACTTGGAGGTTCTTTTAAGCATGTGACATATGAGGAAGTGACGCTAGCCATTCTTCGTTGTGACACATCAGTTCTCAATGAAACACTCCTGCAACAACTCATCCAATATATTCCCGCTCCTGATCAACTAAAGAAACTGGAAGAATTCAAAAACCGCTATGATGAACTATGTGAAGCTGAGCAGTTTGCATTGACTGTGAGTTGGTCTTCGGCACTTTCTCTGACCCTTTCCTTTGGCATAATTGTTCTTGCACACTTGGTGCTTGTATATTTGCTTATTCTTTGTACCTTCAGGTTGGCAGTATCAAGAGATTGGTACCTAGGCTGAAGTCACTATGTTTTAAGGAACGTTTTGAAGAGATGATGGCTGATGTAAAACCGGTGAGAGCATGCATGCTGCAAAAAGTTTTTTTTTGTTAATTCTTTGCTATTTTGGAGATAATTGAGATATTCTCTTGGTTCATCTTCAGAGCATTGTTGCAGCCACAGCAGCATGTGAAGAGGTAAAACTGAGCAAAAAATTTTCTCTCATTCTGGAATTGGTCCTCCTGTTCGGAAACTACATGAATTCGGGGACAAAAAATGGACAAAGCGTAGGCTTTGAGATCAGCTTTCTCCCTAAGGTCTGATATTTCTCTTGGCATCATTTATGAAAAGGTTGCAGTGGTCTTTCATCAGGAGAGTATGGATATGGTGTTTTATGCAGTTGATGAATACCAAGGATGCAGAAAACAAGTCAACATTGATGCATTACTTGGTGGAGACAGTGGAGAATAAATTCCCTGATGCCCTGAGTTTTGCTGATGACTTGATTCATGTGGAGAAGGCTGCAAAAGTCTCTACTGATATGCTGCAAAAGTCCCTTCGTCAAATGGAGAGCAACATAAAGAACCTTGAAATGGATCTGAAGAATTCAACTAAGACTCCCACATCAATTGATGATCGTTTTGTGGAAGTCATGAGTGTATCCTTTTTCAAACAATGATGAAGCAAACAAATGATGTGTGAAAATATTTTAATTAAAACCCAAATGCAAAAATCAGGTTTTTATTTAATTTTAGCAGTCCTTGTTTATTGATTTTCTTGTTTTTCAAAATGTTATTTGTTAAAATTGCCTAGATATCTTGTTAATATCAAAGTCTCATTATTTTTTGGGTCAACCTAAATGTATCCACTTAAGAAACCAGAAGTTGAGGAAGGAAAGATGTTACTTTTATTCTGGCATGATATATTATTGATGGGGTATAATTTTCGTATTCAAATATTGATTTTCTTGTTTCTGGGATAATCCTTGACAAACCTGGAAAGCAGTCATTTGCTGAGAGGTCACGAGAACAATATGAAATTGTGCAAAACATGTACAAAAAGATGGACTCCCTATTTACAGCACTGGCTGACTATTTTGTGTTTGACAAGACAAAATACACTTTGGATGAGTTCTTCTCTGATATCAACTCCTTCAAGGAGAATTTTACGGTGAGACTGAGTTCCTGTGATAAGTAGATCAACATTAGTGATGTTCCTGTATGGTGTGTCTGCTAATTTATGAGCAGAAGGCATATAAGGATGTGCTGAAGTTGAGAGAGACACAAGAGAAGATACGGTTGGCCCAGGAGAGGAAGGTGAAGATGGAGCAAGAGAAGGCTGAACGGGTGGCCAAGAGAAAAGCCCTTGTTGACATGAATGCAGATGATGACCAGGAAGGTGTCATGGATAATCTTCTTCAAGCTCTCCAGTCAGGAGCTGCCTTTGCACGTGAACAGAAAAGAAAAAGGCAGAGCCGGCCTGGTCCTGGTAATATCTTCTGTGGTCCTCTGCTTGCTTTGTCCAAGGATTTATTTGTTTAAACTGTTGTTTATGTGCTTTGAAGTAGGATAACTAGTGCCATGAGTTAGGCCCACTATAAAACTGCAATACTGACATTGTGTTAAATACATGTTTAGGATAATAACCAGACTGAAAGAAGGGCTCAAAATCACTTTATTAATGAAAAAATTTTATCTGCCAACAAACGTAGAGCTGCTTTTATGTATAGATAAGTGTCTCATTTCTTATTATTAGATCAGAGTAGGCCTTCATTGGCTGAAAAGTTCGTTGTATCGTGTATCCCAATTTTGTACCTTTGTCACATTTTTGCACACTAGTAGCAAAATATTCCATGCCTGCCTCAGAATGATTCTCCTTAGTTGCAAATACTGGGTTCCCATAAATCTATTAATAACAGTTTTAATATTGAATCTAAAGTAACCATTCATTTTTTTGTGCATAGACTGACTATCTTTAGAACTCAGAATGACCATATTTCCTCCTTTAACATTGGTGCAATAGATAAATAATTTATCTGACCCTTTATGGGTTGAAACAAACTGACAAGGTATTTCACCACATTGTCCTTTCAGTATTTCAACTGTAACAGGCATGTTCCCAAATGTTGTAGTTGTTGAACAAATGAATCGTCAAACATTCTGTAATAATTTTGATTAATTGCATATTCCTCAGAAAAAAAAAGGACCCATTAGTGGATCTTCAAGAAATCATGAACTGGACAGTAAGTCTTTAGTAGTGCAGAGTCTCCTCAGTACCCAGATTTTTCCTCTTGCCTGAATTGCACACATCACAGTTTGCTTGTCCTTGCAAATGCAGTGATTTTCATTTGAAAATTAAATTTTATCACGGAAATCATTATTCTCATGAACCTGCCATCTGCAATACTCACTTCTCTTTTGGAAATATGGTAATTGAAGAAACTGTCTTTGGGTAAAATGTACAGAATCTGATGGAAACCAGGTTGAATTCATTTGAACTTTGATTTTAGATTGCTTCCTGTATCTGTTCAGGAAAGAATTTGTTGCTATTTGGGAAATTCTGCAATGTTCATGAAAAAAATTAGACTTTCTTTACATACCTACTATTGAAGTACTATTTAGCTAAAAAAAAAAAATGCATAACTTGAAGAAAAAGTTAAACTTTCCTTTATTAGTGTGGCACAAGACTGAAGTCTTGAATCTGTCTAACTTTTCTTGCAATAAATTTTTGAAAGAGTTACCAAACTTCACCATATTAACTGGCACCTGGGTTTTACGGCTCAATAAATGCAAGAGCATACAACCTGCCAGCATCCTGTATGACAGTTAATGAGTTAAGGACAATATAGTGACTTTATGGACATCCTCTAGTTTTTTATCCCAGCGAACTACTGACCAGGACTCCTCAGAAGGTATAAAGGCACTCAGGCATCACTATCCTCAATATCAGTGGCCCTATTAGCCTTATAAGAATAAATTGGCCATACCTCATCTTCCCTGAGCTCTTAGTTTTCTAGGTTCAAAATGTGCCTTTGCACTTCCTCTGGTTTTTACCAGTCTTTCATTACTAGTGTTTGTTTATTTGTCATCCATCATGCAGCATTGCATCACTTCTCAAAACCTTTTTTTCTGAAGCACATATAAAACACAGCTTCAGTCCTGCTACACATTTCTTTGGTTGAATTTCTCTGCACATTCATTATGAGTGCTACTCTGGAAAGGAATATGCATTGTAGGATAAGCAATTCTTGTTTCCTGTATGAATGCAATTTTTAAGTGCATTAAGCAAATCTCCAAATCTAATTGGATGAGATACCATATTTTCTTTTTAAATATTCTCCCTAAAATCTGTAAATCTGTCAATTTTTTTTAAAACTAGGATGAGACGTCAATTTTCATTAGAGAAATTTAATATTTCCTGCCTTCTTGTGAAAGATTCTCATGATATTATAATTTTCCAAAAATCATTATGAATTAATAGGCTGTCCACTATGATATTGTTTAGTTCTTGCTTGATTTGGTCCCCTAGATGATAGTAAGATTTCATCAGAATGCCCTCGTGATGGGTGGATCTTATTGATTCTGCTTTGCCTGAATTCCAAGGTGCATCAACTTTAAATTTAAAAATTGTTAATGCTTTTAATTTTTATTTCATATCTCAGAATCACCATCAATTACCATGAAGCTCAATCAGTATTGAATGCTGAACGAAAGAATAGAATTGAATCTCAGAATGCAATTCTGAATCTCAAATCATGTTACCTATCTCTGAGCAGTCTTACATTCATACAGTCCCCTTTTTCTTGAAAATATTTAAGAAAAGGAAGGTAGCTTTTTAAATCAGTGGATATATGTTGCTGACTAAAAGTGATACCAGTTTCAAAGGTGTAGAATAGGAACTTTCAGGATATGATATGTATTTGTGTGATTGCATGATAGCCTCAGTCTCAATAGAATGGTGGAGGTTCTATGCTTCTAATCCCATTTGTTACAGGAGAGAGACGTGTTCAAATGCATCGGCAGAGATCTAGAAATAACATGCTTGCTAACACCTCTGCTGCATCCAGGTAAATCAGAGCTACTCACTTTTTCTCTGCCTCAAATATTGGCTAAATTTGGAAAAGGGTTCGACAAGCCAGTGGCAGCTCATTGGTGGAGACAGATTAGGCTCTCCCAAGCACCTGTCTCCATGGATGAGCTGCTGCTGTTTCAAACAACCTTTTGTGCTTGTTTCATAGTCTTGAAATGATCCTCATGCCTTACTCCTTTTGGCTTTCTTCAGTCTTCACCTCAGTCACTCAAATTGTCTAATTGTTTTAAAGGGTTGTCAGCTGGAAAGATTAGAAGAAGATGATGCTCAACATGGCTAGATTGTAATGGGTACAAGGTAACAACAAATAGAGAAATGTTTCAAAATCATCTAGGTTGCCTCCATGCCACTCTAGCCATGAATCCTCCTAAGTTCTTTCCCTTCCATGTTTGCATTGGACTTACCAGTGATACTCCTACCATGCAGTTCATCATTGGTGCTCACAGGCCAATGTGTATGTCCATACCTCAAGGTTGAATTCATTGCTGAGTGGGCCTTGGGCACAGCAGTCTGATATTGCTACTAGGTTGATGTATCTTAGCGCTATGTATCATTTTTGTTCTCTGGAATTGATTTGAATTTAATTTACAATTGTCACTTCTTATGCTACTCTTCCCATGCAGATAGCAATTTCCATGCAATGATACCTTGATTGCTTTTTTATTAGTGATGGTGGGTCTGACGAGAGAAGCCGTCGATCTGCACTCAGTCGTGAGAGACAGATGCTGGAAAGTGTATTGAGGTCCTAAGGGAAGCAGCAGGTTTCTCCTCCTCTTTCGACTGTGATCCCCAGACTTCAGGCTGACATGCAGTATTTTTTCCCTATCTCCCTATCCTATTTATCTGGAAATTGACATTCCATCAGCTGGCAGCATGAGATATCAAAGGATGCCATGCTTTTGTGTGATATCTAAAGGACTTGAATGTCCATTCCTTACTGGCTAAAGTTAGGTCACTCATGGCCTGTTCTTTATTGTACTGTAAGTCTGTAGTGGCCTTCAGATTTACTTAAATTGTATTCTTTTTGTGTGCATGCTTGAGTGCCTTCCTGCACTTCTCACAATTTTCTAACTATTTTGCCTCCCAATAGTATTTCATTCAGCTGATTTGCCATATGTGCAAGGCCAAACATCAACAATCCCTCTATCCCCCATGTGCATTTTGAAAGTATTGCCGTTTTCCTCCCTGACTGAAAGGCTCTGTGTATGATTCATGAGGTTTTACTAAACTGTTCTCTTTGATGTTGGACTTTTCCAGAAATGAAAAGAATTATCAATAGGGATTTTGCTCTCAGGAAGATAATGGTAGAAAATGCCTCAAATATTGAAGGCTTGGAGATAGATTTCCAAGTATTTTTGTCAATGTCTTCTGAAATGGAGAGTTATACAGGGTGATCCCTCTATAGACTAATACACCAATCTTCATGGGGATCTTGGTGTTGTTTTTATTTCATTTTCAGATGATCAGATCAGTGGGGTATCTGTAAAAAGAACACCTTTAATTATTGAAGATGGCTAAGCTAGGAATACTGGCTGTTTCCTGTTTTTTTACTCCTACTGATTAGATCACATAGAAAGGAAGACAATGCCAATAACCTCATAAAAATAAGTGGGGTATCTATAAAAGGAACACCCTCTATTTTCAGTTATCATTTACCCATGTTATCATGAGCAAAGTCTATTTTTCTAAGTGATCCTACAAAGAATAATCAAAGACTGCACAATGTTATATCATTTTATTTTGTCTTTAGTGAGCTAGCACAAGTTGAACTCTAGGTGACTTTCAACATACTTGGGGAAAAGTGGAGTTAATATTTTACTGCTGGTGCACTGCTGGTGAATCACTCAAATTCTCCGAAGCAAGTGAAAAAAATTGGTTTCTATAGGCTTTGTCTCCTGGTCTCATTGCTAGAATGTAGGACTAATAATTGTTTTTTGTCACAGTTTGTGAAATCTCCTTTGAGTCATTTCTGGAAGATGTCTCAATTGACCAATCTCTGAGTCTGTCTGTTTCTGTTTCACTTTTAATGAAGTGCTCATCTTGTTCAAAGATATTGTAGAAAATGAGGAAATGGCATGCCTCTTGACAAAGCTTGATTTCAATGGCATCCTTGAGTTGATTGGGCTTCCATTCTTGCTTTTTGTTTGAGAAATTTTTAAGTGGAATATTTTTTGCCTCCAATTTGTTTCTGTGTACAGAGTTTGGGGGAGATATTTTGCTTGATTCCAAGAGAGCTTTATATGACAATGTTGCAGCTTCTTCCTCCTTATCACTGAGACAAAGAGTTTTCAGTGCTGATAAAATGGCAAAAATGTCTGTGCTGTGCTGTTGATGGCTTCCATCCATGAATAAACCCAGGTGCTCTGATGACATCCATTAATGCTTTTAAGCTTGATTTTGTAGATAAAGAATAGGTGCATTTGTTTTTTTTTGCTGAATTGTTCAATCACTCCAGCTGACTGATCTTGACAGTTTACTCTCCTGCAAACAAGAGGAGTGCTTGGAGTTGGTACCAGATTGCTTACTGTGCAGTATTTCTTTTAACAAAATTCATTCTTGACTTTTAAAGTTGCTATTCTGTTTCTTGCACTTTTATTTCCAGTCTACCCTTCCCTCGCCCTTTTTCTTAGGTATTAAGCATTGTTTCTAAAATATTCTTGCCATTGCAGAAGGGAGAAACATGGCTTTCTCATAAATAATATGAAGTTTCCTTCTTACAAGAACAAGAAATGAGAACAGCAATCATGTTTATGTGACTGACTGAAGATGTCATTACGATCAAGTTCTTCCATTCCATCCCATGTTGTTCTTGACAGTCCCTCAGCTCTAGAACAACTAGTTGAAGAGATCAAGTTCCAGAGGAGCAAGGAAATGAGACAGAGCCTCCGTGCTGATCGTAAGTGCTTCTTCATCTCTCTGTCAGGTCAGTGGTACTGATGTATTTGTTTGACTTATTGGGTCTTTGATTTCAGAAGGAGGAGTCTTGGTCCAGGGTACAACATATTGGACAGACCTCTTTGTTCGACATTTCCTCTTCCGTACAGACCGGAATCATGACAGTGACGATCTCCTTTTCTTTGTACGCAAGAAGCACATTCGAGGCATTACAAGATACATTCCTCGCTATGAGGTGATTGTTGTTTCATGTATCCCATATGGATGATGTATTCTTCAATGTAAGAATCTTAGCTCCCTCTCTCTTTTCCCTTCCAAAGTAGAATGATCAGGAAGAGGATTTAGTTTTTAGAATGAAGACATGGTTCTTTTGCAAATAGGATTTTTCAGTGTAAGGATTAGGCTCATCATGATATGGTATTACCTTTGTATATGCAGGTAACACCTTGCTATCTTCTGGTCTTTAATGAGATGGATTTATATTTCTTTATCTTCCCAAAATTGGCAAGATTTGAATGTAGCTAAAGGTCCAATATGTATGACCTAGCATTATCATCAACATTTGAATAACTATTTTGCCATTCACTGGTTTTACTGTTGATTTAGCTACTCATATGGCAACTTTTTTTATTTCCAGCTGATTGGTTAGGGAAACTGGACTCATTCTATTCTTTCCAACTGTCCAGTATCCACCTTGACTGTTATACCTGACCTTATAATTGGCATCTCTCCCTCTTGCTGGTTGCTCCCACTCCCAAAAAAGAGAGCTTTGATGAATTACCTCTAAAACTTCTGCATACAAAAAATGACACTCTTCTCTTGTGTGCCTGCCAGCATCTCAAGTCAATTGGTTGATAAAAATCAAGTCAAACGTAGGAGTGTATTTACTCAAAGTGGATTCTTTGTTATGAAGATGTGCAAGCCATGTACTGGATGTAGGCTAACCTCATGCTTACATCAAGTATATGCCTAGTGTTGGACTGAGATTTTTCTATTGATTTATCTGAATTGCTTCACACTATACCTGACTTTAGTGATGTCTTTTGTGATATAATTCCAAGTAATGAGCATTGGGAGACAAGTTTTTGTGCAGAGTTGTACCTTTACATCCTACTGATTGTGAAATCAGTAGATTAATCCATTGTGATTACGTTGTTGTGTGCCGACAGACGAGCCTTGAAGTGTTCAGAAAGGACAGTCGGAAGCTCCCAATTGGAGATCCAGACATTGATTGGGAAGAAACAGTATATTTGAATCTGCTGATCCATGATTTTGAATATACTCTCACCATGGCCACATGCACACGGACAAGTCCCAAGCATCTTCAGATCCTCCGCCGTCACTCCCAGGTCTGTTCATACTTAATTTCAAATCTGCACTTTCATTTTTTGCCTGTAAATCCATGTGCCTCATATGGATAGGTAAGGCAATGGGAACATGGAATCTCAACATTATACGGCTTCCTTGTAAATCGGAGCCAGAGAATCATGGAATTTACATGCTTCCCAGGAAATTTTCATATTTTCATTCCGTAAGCAGGATGTGACTCATTCTAGAAGTTTACATCGTTGAGACCTCCGTGGTCAATATCCCCAGTGTTTCTTTGCGCTATCGGTGATGGGCTGTTTGAGTATCTGGGTCACGTGCCCCCTCATGCCTATCAGCAGCATCGAAAGGGAAGCGCAAAATGAGCATTGAATTGCTGCAGATAAGATGTCATTCCCCTCAAAGAAGCTTGAGATAACGGAACTGTAAGAACGAATGACCGTTAGCTGATGGATTCCGATGGGAATGGGGATCGTGGATAGTCAGAAGAATGTCGCTGTTACTGTCGCTTCTAGAGAAATGGAAAGGTACTTTCATGCTGTATGTATTGTCATTCATGGGCAGAGGGTTGGCAGTGTAATAAAACTTGTTCCCTTCTCTTATCGTGATGGAAGAGGTTGAGGAAATCCATTGACATGAAACGGAGCAGCAGAATCGCTTTCATTGGCCTTGAAATTGAATATCCATGGCTTATCTCCCCTTTTATTCTCAAGTTGGAAGGCAAGGCCGTGCGCAGTAGGCGCATTCTACAGTGCATATCCTCTTCCGCAGCAGGTTTCTCCGTCTCCATTCTTTTTGTGAATCCTTAACCCCTTCCGTGCCACGCACGTAGCTGCTATGTTTGCGGTCCATTGTCCCCAGCGTGCTTTGAATGTCTTCTCAATCTTCTCACAGCTGAAAATACTTATAAGAATATATAGTGACTGACCTTTTGTTTACACATGAGCATCTCATCGGAAAGTGCGGGTTTTGACAATTTCTGTTATGCTTAATGATGTTGAAGAGTTACTAAAATTCCTCTCGGCTTCTATCTCCTTTATACGATCGCCATAGGGTGATTCCATGTCAGTCCGCACACTTTTTTCCCCGACCCCCTCCAATTTCTATGAATGTTGGTATGCTAATAGTACCTATTGAGAAAACAAACTACAACAAATTTCAGCTCCATACATTATATATTCTGAGAATGACAGACAATCACAAATTTGACAGTTTTGGGGCACTTTGGGTCCAGGGATCACAATAATTGTCATAACTCCCTCATTAATGAAGATAAGTGCGTGCATATGGTATCGTTGGATAGCTTATAGAATTTCCTATCAGATGATATGTAACACACGCTGATGAAAGCAATGACCTTGGCATACATGTTTTGTAACGACCTTGAAATTTGACTTGACCTGGACGTAAGTTCCCTCATTACATTTCGCTAAAATTCTAACATATCATCAGTCATGTTTTCATTTTTCACGGCTGCGCCGCGTAGAATGAAAATGAGAATAATTTTGCAAACATTGCTTGGCACCAATAAGACTATGGAATGTCTGCGGAATAGCATTGTTTCCGCAACTTCCCACGGCAAGGGCCGGTGTGACGGATTAGGAGGAACATTGAAGCGACTTGCCTTTGTGCCTCAAAGGCAATTCTGCAGAGACCATGAAGTGATCAGATAACGTTCCCTTTTTCAGCTGTGTATTTGGGCAACGGGCAATACTGCTGCGATTAACTTCATCTTCAGCCAGAATTACCCACTCACGCATATATGCTTCGAGAGCGTTTTAACGCGGCACAAGTAGCAGCAGGTACTCAAACATTACATGCTTTTCTATCATCCGATCGACCAAGTACCTGCTCGTGAAAGTACATTCTTGGGAAGAAAATGATAAGAAAGTTAAAGTTCTGAAGGCGTAATACACGTGTACATGCTCTGAACTGATGCGCCGCTAATTCGAAACGATTAGGACGGATAACTGAAGATAAGCGAAACGCAAGTATGAACCCATGGCTCTTATGTTGTGTGATACCGGCGCATGTTATGAAGGTCGCGCACCAAAATGCTCATATCTCTGTTGGTAGTCAAAAACCCAAAATGAAATTTTCGGTGTACATCAATGAAAACATGACTGATGATATGTTAGAATTGTTAGAAAACTGTCGAATTTGTGATTTTCTGTCATTCTCAGAATATATAATGTATGGAGCTGAAATTTGTTGTAGTTTGTTTTCTCAATAGGCACTATTAGCATGCCAAATTTCATCGAAATTGGAGGGGGTCGGGGGAAAAAGTGTGCGGACTGACATGGAATCACCCCATAGTTTTTTTCACCTTCATGGCGTAGGGACCTATTTTGGGCTGAATAAGACGGATCCATGAAGACTAGGCCTTTCGTCGTTTCTTAGCTTCCATGAGTGATGTCTGAGTTGGGAACGATGAGATAAGGTCGATCTTTCACACGGAGCATGGAGGTTGATGGCTGATATAATGGTAGGAAGGGAGGATTGCACCGATTGTCTTGCTTACTTTGAGGTGTTTTCGTGTGAAAAGCTTGGATGATAAATTTCTGGAAGTAGCCGAGTGACTTTCACATCTCTCCTGCTGCAGAATTCGCCTCTAGGTAACCGGGGTAATCCCTATCTGTCCTGGGACATCCGCAATCGTATGATTCAGTCAATACGCTTTTTTGGTGCGCGTGTTTTTGTATAAGAGCGCCAGTTTTCCTCCTTGCTCCTTTGGGGTGCTTCACGTCCTCATGGGAATATTCTGTAATGGATGCTGCATTTCTCTCAATCGCGGAAGGAATCGTGACAGCTGCTTCTGCATGTTTCTTTCATTTGCCATCTTTGAGTCATCCATACCCTCAAAGCCAAAATTGCGTTTTAAAAAATTACTCCCCAAATTCTGCGTGTTTGGGGTTCTATTGTCACGATGAGTAAACTTATAAAGCGGAAAGATTCTGCATTCTTCAACCTCGCATTCTCACAGTGAGCCTATGCGACTCTGAAACTCTTCTCTATCGGAGTATCAACGCATTTTGAGGATGAAGTATACAAAAATTATCATTAAATCAGTAAGAGACGAGAACCCAATAACCCAGCAACTTCAGGTGTTGCAGGTTGAACGAATCTTATGCAATGATAGCAACGATGGCCAAGAGAGATCGTTTACATAAACACGGGGAAGCATGGAACATCAATGTTTTCACGCCTGCGCTGGGACTAGCGATTTTTCCTAAATCAATGCATAATTATATGCTCTGCATCATAGCGCAGAATTGAGCGAAGGAGTGATAACGCATAAATCACTCATGACCCCTATACAGTAATACCTCGCAATACACTCGGGGTGCCTTTCTGAAAAACCGAGCGTATCGCGAATCAGCGCGTTGCGAAAAAAAGTTGAATTGTGTTATAAATGAATTCAGAACGCATGCCAAGCGTATTACGAGGTATTACTGTATAGGCAAATTCCAGAAACGTCAACTTCTGAGAAACGAAAAACAGAATATTTCCTGATGCACTGTCTGAGAGGAATTCACACTAATCCGGAGATCTCCGGTCTCATCGCAAAATTAAAAACTGCTCAAGCGTTGCATGTAAACGAAGCATTCAGCATTCTGAAGACGGAGGCCCCCTTCGTCTTCTGAATGATGCCTTCATAGAGAACTATTCCGATCGGGCGGCAAAGGGGTAAATACAGTGTGGTGGACCTTGATGAAGCCGCTAGTCGAGCTGCACAGTGGTCGAGCCGTAATCCCGTGGAATTGAGAATGAGACCCAGTAGAACTCAAAGTATACGTGAGAAAACAATGGAAAGCCATCTCTCCATAACTCTCAGATGAGAGTTGTATATCCTCGAAGGCAGACCGGAATGTTCTAATGCTTGGAAAAAAGCATGCGGATTTCTGGACGAGAGGATCTGAACTCGCTAATGGATTTCTAGGGCAGGAGGTTGGGTTCTGTACCCCGTGAACTTCGGTGTACTTGCCCTAACCAATCAAAGATCGATCGTTGGATTGTATTCGTGAATCTAATGAGTATTAAGTGAAGATTCCTTCTTGCTTGAACGTGCCGTTGTCTGGATCTTTACGAGGTTCATGTGTATCCTCGTGAACCCCTTAGGCAATGTTTTACGTGTATACTATATATGGGAATAATGTCCGTTACATTCCTTTTTAACCGTCGTCTTAGACTTGTCTGCTAACGGTGGCATTGTTCTGTGTAGACGATAAAACTTCCAACGGCTGGAATAACAGGAAAAGTGTCTCGGAACAGGCAGATTTCCTGCCTGAGGGAAATTTGTCTACCCCTGGGGTTATGAGCCAGACTACCCCTGGGAGTCATATTGTCTCAATTATTAATTATCCAGGTAATTATCAATTATAAAATGTTCAAGGCAAAGGCTGAAGTCGAAACTTGCCTATTGATGCTTGATATGATAACTTGCCTAGGCACGTTTCTTGTGAAAAGTAACTAGTTATAATTGCAAATACTTGTAATTACTAGCAGCTTCACAGCAGCACTGACTGGTAGGAGCGTGCTATTGCTGATGAACATCATTTTCAGCTTTGCTATAGATTTTAATGACGGCAGGGATAAATGTGATAATACAACTCCGGTCACTTTAACCTGTAATTATATTTTTAATCGAAGTGTAATGCATTGGAGTAACGTCACTGACTTTTCCTTGGAATAGGAATTTCCGTAAAACTTAATTAGTGAGAGCAACGCGTTACTTTTACTTCGTTACCACCCAACATTGCCTTTTGACTATGGTTAGAAGAGCATCACCCCACGGGCAAGCACCTAGTAGTGAGGCCCCTCATGGACTGATGCAGTGGAGGTGTGTATCTTCTCCAAGTTCTTCCCAAGGACTGTGTTCTTGCAATTTACCATTATTCGCTTCGTTTAGTTCCAAGGAACTGTGTGATGGAGTCAGGAAATTTATTCCCAGGAGGTTCTTATCTCCTACGTATATGTACTCTTCTAGGAGCTTTCTTTAGATTAAGGATGCACCGATGCCATA